AATAGTAGTAGTAGTAGTAGTTAGTAGTAGTTGTAGTAGTTAGTAGTTGTTGTAGTAGTAGTAGTAGTAGTAGTAGTAGCAGTAGCAGTAGTAGTAGTAGTAGTAGTAGTAGTAGTAGTAGTAGTAGCAGTAGTAGTAGTAGGCGTAGTCGTAGTAGTAGTAGTAGTAGTAGTAGTAGTAGTAGTAGTAGTAGTAGTAGTAGTAGTGGAGGTAGTGGTAGTGGTAGTAGCTAGTAGTTAGTACTCGTAGTAGTGCTAGTCGTAGCCGTCGTCGGTGTAGTAGGATGGGAAAGAGGAGGAAGGAGGGAGGGAGAAGGAGGAAATGAAGAGGGAAAGAGGGAGTACGAGGAGTGCCATGGAATGGGGAGACGGAGGGAGGCGATGGAGTGGGGAGGACTCCGGAGGAGTGCCGAGGAGTGCAATGGAATGGGGAGGGACGGAGAGAGGAGAGAGGAGGGAGGAGGGTGGAGGGAGGAGGGAGAGCGAGGGAGGAATAAGGAGGAGGCAGGAGGAGGCGTGCCATGGAATGGGGAGGCGGAGGGAGTGGCGCATGGAGTGGGGAGGACTCCAGAGGAGTGGGGAGGAACGCCGAAAAGCAAGATGGAGGGAGTTTCGAGGAGTGGGCAGGGATGCCGAGGATCACGGTGAAGTGCGGAAAGGTACAGAGGAGTGGGGAGGAGTGCGGAGAGGGGGGAGGTGGCATGGATTGAATTGCGGAGGAGTGCCGAGGAGGGCGACGGAGTGCGGAGGACTGGGAGGCTCTGGAGGGCTCCTTGGAGGCCTCTGGAGGGTTTCTTGGAGACCTCTGGGGGACGCTTTCGTGGACTCCTGGGCTTAAGCTGCCCCGATACGCAACACGTCACACGGAACGTTGCCCAACACGTAGGCTCAAAACGGAGTCCTGGCTGCAACGGAAAGCGACATGGAGGGAGTTTCGAGAGGCTCTTCGGAGAGCCCAAAAGCCTCTTCGGAGAGCCCAAGAAGCTCTTCGGCCGCTCCAAGAAGCTCTTCGGCGGCTCCAACAGGGTCTTCGGCGATTCGAAGAGGCTCTTCGGAGAGCCCCAGAGGCTCTTCGGAGACCCCCGGAGGCTCTTCCGAGAGGCTCTTCGGTGAAAGGGGTGGGTGGGAGGAGGCTCTTTGGAGACCCCCCCGCCCCCTTCACCGTACTCGTTGATTAATACCCTCCGGAGGAACCCTGGCCATACTAAATCCCACAGGGCCGCACTAACAACCAACGGGCCACAGCAAGACCTTATCCCGGCCTTCGGTTGCCCGCGGCGGCCTCCAGCGGCTTGGGCAGCGGCGCGTGCGGCGGCGTCGTCGTACCCGTCGTGTTCGCGCCTGCGTTTTGTTTGCAATTTCCGCCGTCCGGATGCCACTTACTGGCCCCGAGTCTGTCAGAACACGGTCGGGGATGAAACGGCGGTCCCTTGGATGGAAGGTGTCGAGAGATTGGTCGAGCGAGAGAAAGAGAGATAGAGAGAGAGAGAGAATGAGAGAAAGAGAGACAGAGAGAGATGGTCGGACGGGCTGGGCGGCGTTCGAATTGGGACCGCTCAGGATGCTGATTAGGAAGATGCGATTTTCCAGTTCAGCGAGCCCATCGTGTCTCGAAGCTTTGTGATAATCGTGCTGATCATCTGAATTCTTCGCTGAACAATCATGCTTCGATCTGCGAAACGAAGGTGCGCTGGGGCTTTCCGAAACATGCTACTCAAGGATGGCTTAAGATTCAAGATCTTCTCACCAGCCTTTGAAGAGGCCTCCGCGGAGCGCTTCCCTTTCTGGCCCCCTCTCCCCCTCGGAGCCTCTTCCCTGCCTCTCTTCCCCCTCCCGTCCGTTCGGTAGCGGATTGAAGCGTGCCCATCAGTGGAGGACATCGTGCAAATGAACAAAGGGATAAGGCGTGGGACAGTACACGAAACCAGGCATCACCCCTGTGGAGGAGGAAGAGAAGCGGAGGGGGGGGTGCTCGTGGCTCAGGTCAGGTTCGTAAGTCTCTTTGGTCAAAGGGCCCCCCCCCCCGAGATTTGGGCTTTCCTTCCGCGGCCCAGAGGTCTACTTCGGAGTCAGCGGGTGCGCCGCACTAGGCTGTCTGCCCCCGCGACGCCGCTGCTGGGAGGATGGGGGGCGGCGAGGGTTGGAGCTGGCTGTGGGTCCGAGGTGGCCTAGCACCGGTTCCAGCGAGCAGGAAGGAGGGGCGAAGTGCGAGACTCAGGGTTTTCGATGATTTTTGTCGGCTTTTTCCGGCCTCCAGGAGTCCTTTTCCAGCCCTGGGACCGTCAAAAACGACTTTGGGGTGAAACATCGCACCAGATGGACCCTGGGAGGGGTCTGGGGACCCATTTTGATCGGATTAGGCTCTGTTTTCGTTCTTGACCGGCTTTCTCAGGGCCCATCCAACTCAGACCTCCAGTCGCCTCCGAGACGAGGGACGGTAGGGGGAGGGAGCGAGGAACTTTCTGGAAACCACGCGGCAGCAGACACTGTCGGTTCGTCTCTGGACCATGGCTGCCATCCTTCGTTTTGGCTGTGATTCGCCCTGCCGGGCATGAGACTTGTTTCCCAATCCAATCGCAGGCGCCAGGGGCGAGATCCCTGCCGCCGATGAGCGGAACGTGTGAACGGCCCGATACGCACACACGAATACGCACACGCACTCACACACACACATACACACACACACGCGCACATACACGCACGCACGCACGCACGCGCACACACACATACACACACACAAATACGCACGCACACGTACCCCCCTCCCACACACACACACCCACACACCCACATACACTCTCTTACTGGCACATACATACAGACACACACATAGACACACACACACACGCACCACACACCACCCACACACACACCGAGGGCTGCAATCGCCGTGGCCCAGAGTGTCCTCGAACTGCTTTAAAATCATTCGCGGTGCCCAAGCCAGAACAGTATTTCAGCTGTGGGCGCCGAGAGTGCGTTGAAGCACAGAACACGAACTCATAGTCTAATAGCACAATTCGCAACACTTATCAGTCATCGTGACAGTCGTAGCAGCAGTAATTGGGGCTGGTAGTGTAGTGTATAAGTCGGCAGTGCAAGGTCTTGGTATGTAGCTTTGGGTACCTTGTCTAGACAAGAGGCTGCGACAGGCTGCAAATCTGTCAGTAGGTGGTGGCGGCAGTGTGAGTTGCATTGTTAGTAGCAGTTTGAGCTGTAGTCTCATAACTAGCAGCACTAGCAGCATTGTTCGGCCGCGGCGGCGGCAGCATGCGCAGGAGCAGGAGCAGTCGAGCCGTGAAATGTGCAAGGTGCAATTGTGGTTGTATTAGCAGTGGTGGCTAGCATTCGCAGTGGTAGTAGCAGTACGATCGGTGCCTCCGCGCCGCTGGCCACCAGGTCAGCCAGGGCCGCTGCTTCCCAGTCTGAGTGACAGTGCTCTTCGTTTAATATGATGATGATGTCGAATGATCTTCCCGCTTTGCCTGTCGCCTCTGTGCTCGCAACCTCGTCTTACTCGAGGTAGCTACACTCAAATGTTCTCCGAGCCTCGCCGCTCTTCGTCATTCGCTGAGGTGGCGCCTCGGCCATCGTTTGTGCTGTATGTCCAGTGGGTAGCTGTGATCCTCGACAAAGCAGCTCAGCAAGGATCCTGGAGTGTCATCGAGTCGTTCATGCGTTCATGATTCCTCCCAGACTGGTCATTGGTTTTTCCATGGCCCCACGCGATGCTCCAACAGCGCTGCAAACCAGTGTCCAAGAGGCACTACCGAACAACGAGCTTCAACTTCTTAATTTTTCGGCGTTCCCAAGTTTTGACTTCATGACATCCCCGACGGCCCCGCCCCCAACCAACACCAGGCCATGACGGCCCCAGTTCAGACAAACATCGACCTGGAACAGCCCATGACGCCCCAGATACGGCCCCAGGTATGTTGCCATCATGGCCACAAGATGGCCTCATGTCGGCCCGCGACGAGATGAAGAGGTCATTGGGACTCTCCCGACACAGCTCGTCATCCTCCCTTTCCTCTCACCTGCTCACACCAGGAGCGGGCGAGTGGGGGAGGCGAATGCGCTCGCTCTAGTCTGTGCAGCCTGGGTTGTCTGACAAAATATCCTAACCGACAGCCGCCGTGTCCTACGGCGTGTTGCCCATGACGGCGGTGAACTGCATCATCAACTGGGACACTGGTTCATTCAATTCGGGGAGGAAGTGGGGCAGGAGGTGGCCAGCTTCACACCAGTTTCAGTCTTGTTTCAGTTGGACTCGACGTGCTTGTGTTTGGCATGTGCATGTTCTCGCAGCATTGGCTGGAGAGCGAAACAGAGGGGCTGGTGCTTTCATATACCTGTCGTCACTTGAGACGGATCGGTATGCGGGGCGATGGAGATGTAGGAGCGGGTTGGGGATGATGAGGAGGACGATGACGATTATGACGGTTGTGATGATGTTGTTGCTGCTGCTGGCGATTTGTATAAGAAACAGGATGAAATGGGATGTGTACGGGAGGAAAAGGAAGAAGTGGATCCAGAGAAGGAGTAAGAGGGCAGCAGGGTACGGAGGCGGAGGGCAGGACGAAGAGGGAGTGGAGGGAGAAACATGGGGGTGGACGATGATCATGATGATGAGGAGAAGGAGTGCCTGCGTGCCCAGTGTCGTTTTCGCATGTCTCATGTGGCACATCCTATGAGGCCTGCTCTTGCTCTTGCGCCTGGACGTATCATCGTGCTTGCTCGCATGCCGTACTTGAAGGCTTTGTTGTTGGCATGCCCAACTGAAACGGACAACACATATGCACGCGTGCTGAAACCCTGCACACATGTCTGCTCTGTCTATGTATTACTCGCTTGCTTTGTTTGCTGTCCAAACCGGTAATAGCATACTCGCTCATCATGTTATTGTTTGTGTTCGCTTTCGCATTTGCTTGTGTGCTTGCTTGCGTGTTATGGTGTGCTGACAGGTGATTGCAATCTTTGACGCTTCCTGCATCCTCTGATGCTTCTGGGAGCTGCAGAGTTTGAGAAGGTTGAGGAAGGGAGAAGGAGGAGCAGACCGAGAAGGCACAGGAGGAGGAACATGATGAGGATGATGAGGAAGGAGAAGCCGGAGTCGGAGTCGGAGCTGGAGTCGGAGAGGACGATGTGGATGGAGAGATGAGGGAGAGAGGAGGCGGAAGAAGAGGAGGAGGAAGATGAAAAGGAGGAGGATAGTGAGGAGGAGGTGGAGGAGGAGAATGAGGAGGAGGTGGAGGAGGGGGAGGAGGAGGAAGGAGGAGGAGGAGGAGGAGGAGGAGGAGGAGGAGGAGGACCAGTGTGCACCCAGGGTGCATCAACGATGTTGCAATACATTCTCTCTCAAAGTTCCCACCTCAAATGCCCCTATAAGGACCTGTATCCACTGCGGCAAGTGGTCCATGAGAAGGTAACCGTCGGAGAGCCCCCAGTCGTGCCAAAAAAACGCAGTTCACGGGTTTTCGGCGTCACGAGTCGGCGTGACGTGCTGCGCCCGAACAATCCCAAATCGTGCCAGAACGCCGTCCCTGGGATGTCAACACCACGAGTCAAACATATCGCGGAGTCCTGACAGTCCTAAAGCGCTCCGTAGCCATGTTGGCTCAAGACTCCTGCACTTGGGGGCTCCGCGCCTCCGTGCCAAAACGGGATAGCTCTGTTCCCCGAGCTTGTTTCCAGCTTTCGCCTGGTCCGCCTCAGGCAGAGGTCCAGTGTGGTCCGCCCCTCGCTCGGCCAGCGTACCCCTGTGAGCTCCTGCTGGAACACCCGCATGCGATGGGCGACTCTTCTGACAGCGACCGTAGCGAGGGTGGTGCTGTCAGCCACAGCCGCAGCGGCGGTTCGCAATCGCAGCGTCGGCCACCACGCCAGCGTCACCGCCGTGACGAGAGTCGTGGAGGTGATCGTGACGAGCGCCGAGGTGGTGAACGGGACCGCGATCGTGGTGGAGGTGGGCGCCGCTCCGAGCCTCGGGCAGATGATCTTGGAGCCGATCCCCTGGGGGCCAGGGGCCCATGGGCTGGAGGCGCCCCCGCTGCCGCCGCCGCTCAGTCAGCTGATCACCCGTCCCAGGTCCAGCACGCGGTGGCCGGCATCTCGCAGTTCGGCACGTTCCCGTCGCAACCGGTGGATGGCGCTGGCACTGCTGCCCCCACGGCCGCTGCCGCCCCCGCCGCCGGCACGCCCACTGGCGGCATGGGCACATCTCCGTCGCTCGAGGATCAGATCCAACGCCTCGTTGCCAACCAGTTCGGAGCGGCCCCAGCCTCCATCGAGGCCAATCTGTCGGCGTCTCGGTCGACGATGGTCACGACCAGCATCCAGTCCATGCAGGGCTCGCTACAGGCGGGCATCATCCTGTCAATGCAGTCACAACTGGCACCAGTACATCAGAAGGACTCGGAGCTCGAGAGGGAGCTCCACGTCTACCGCGAGCAGTCCAGCAAGCTCGAAAAGGAGCAGAAGCATATCAGGGAAACTGTCAAAAGATGGAGGAGCTTCTCTCGATGGCCGAGTCCAGGACCCCCGCCTTCACGCTGCAGCAGCTCGCGGAGTGGGATCGCCCTCCCGAGCCCACGGTCTTCTCGTGCGGCTCGCCGTCAATCTTCACGAGGGCCGAGCTCAAGACCGCCCTCTCGCCATGGTTCCGCGACGCCGGAATCGACACCGCCTGCCTCTCGGTCGTTGGTGGCGACGCCCCGAACCAGCGCTTCAACATCCAGATCGCCGGAGGTGCGGAGGCTCCCGCGCGTGCTCTGGCCCTCACTCGCAACCGTAAGGATGGCGGCCGCTGGCGTGATTTCCAAGTCAATCAACGCTGCTGGCCAGCCCCAGCCGCTCTACGTCAGCGGTGACAAATCACCAAAGGACGTTCGCCGTGAGATCCAATTCAAGAAGCTACACACTATCTTGGCCACTGATCGCCCCGATATCAACTGGAAGGTCAACCGCAGCACAGGCACCATCTCTGCAGAGGCCGTCCCCGTCTGTGAGTTTCAGGTTGGCGCCATGGACGAGCCCACGAAGATCTTCTGGAACCCGCACACGATTCAGAACTTCGGCCTGGTCCACATCAAGTACCGGACTCAGTTCGCCAACCTATTCGCCCACACAGGAGAAGCTGCTACTTCAGGATGGCATCTTTGACGATCGTTGGCGCCCCTGGGCCATCGCTTCGGCGGCCTCGCGTGCTGCTGCCGGTTTTCATATTGTCTCTTGGTATGTTGTTTCGCTCCTCTGTTCACGCAAACATCCTCGCATGAAGAAGTTTCGTCACTCGCTCCGTTCCACAGGCAGCAAGCTGCACTCTGTCTGCCAAAGGTTCGAGGATCTCGGCACTCCCGGAGGAGACACTGAAGCAGATCACATCGAACTACCACATCCACTCCTCGGCCGCCCGTCTACGCGACGACGGTTCTCGGGCTGGCTTTGGCGGCGTGGCTGTTTTAGTTCCGCTTTCTTGCTCAGACGCCATCGCCGCTGTACCTCCTGCGGACCGCCCGCAGCAATGGCAGGATCTCATATTACTTGGGCGAGTTCAACTTGTACACGTAATGCACCCTACTACGGGCAAAGCCTTGCGCATCATGACTGTCCACAACTTCGACCTCTCCCAGCAGCAGCTCGCGCGGGCCGCGGGAGCGTGGCACTCTGCCGCATGCTGGGCGGCCGAGCTGGTCGAGGCTCGCATCTTCGCCGCCATTGGGGACTTCAACTTGAATGCCGCCGCCACCGCCTCCTACGTTCGCCCCGAGGCTGGACAGGCCACCCGCACGGCTACACGTCACAGACAACGCCCTCGGCAGTGGCAGGACATGTTCGACGACCAGATGGTTGAGATCACGAGCGAGATGCCAACTCGCTACTCGAGGGCCACTGAGACGGCTACGTGCATCAAACAGGCTTTCGTCTCTTTGCCCGCCCAGTACCTCGAGCGGCTTATCTGCGACTTCGAAGTTCACCGAGGGGCCGCGCACTATGCCGATTGGCGCCTGAGTGATCATGCAGCCGCGGTCTCGCGCATACGGCCGCGGATAGCCATCGAGTGCGACGAGCAGAGCATCCCCAAGCACATCTTCAAGGCCCCGATGTACGCCGCGACGCTGGACACCTTGATGGGCGCCCTGGACCTAGTCACCCTTCTTCCCGAACAGCGGCTTTCGGAGACGAAAGGCATGATGAAGGAGGCAGCCGGGCTCACCCGGAATGCGCTCTCCAAGCTCCCCCTGGGCACGGAGAAGGGCTCTTCCGAGACGCTCGAGTCGCGGAGGCTCACCATGCGGAGCACTGCGCGAGCGGCGTGGCGTCAGGGCGGCTGGATCGCTCTGAACTTGATCCGGAACTGGGGCAACGCCATCTCGAGGTGGTCGAAAATGGTGCCGGGAGAAACCCCGCCCTAAGGCCCCTCAGGGCGGGGTTTTCTTCAACCGCATCTTCTGCCCCTCCATCGTCCGCCGCCGTCCTCCTCGTCGACGTGATCAGCTTCGAGCACGACTATCATGACCTCAACCGTCGCTGGCGTGAGCGCCAGGTCCTGCAGGCCGCATGGAGGGTCAAGCAGAACGAGAGCCCCGAGCAGACTGAAGTGCTACAGCGCTGGGAAGCGAATGCACGCAGGCGCGCAGCCTTGTGGGCCCCCCTTCCGCAAGCGCCTCATCTTGAACGGCCTGCAGATCCACTCCGGAGGCCCCGACGGCCCCGTTGCCCGGCAACCCGGCAACATCGCCGACGCCCTCCTGAAGCACTGGGCCCCCGTCTTCCTGGGCACAGAGGCCGATGCATTTGCCATCGACGAGTTTCTCGACCGCGCGATGCCTGGCATGCCGCCCGTGGTCCTCGCAATTCCCTGCTTGGAGCAGATGCGTGCCGCTTTTCGCCGGGCGAGGCGGTCTGCTCCAGGGTTTGACGGGTTGCCTGTGGAGGCGTGGCTTCCACGCCTCCGTGCAATGGATCACGTCTACACTGTGATGCTGAAGCTGTTCGAGGGCGCGATCATGGGACCTGTCTTGAATGCCAGCGATTTCCCCTTCCTCCCGAAGGGCTCGCCCGAGGAGGGCCGCAGCGACTCGGTGGACTGCGTTCGCCGGCCGCAGCAGACCATGCCGCTGAGCCTCAAGAGCCAGGACTCGAAGGCCATCGCCTCGGCCATCAAATGGAATCTCAAGCGCGTGGCCGAGTCGGCCGCCGACGAGGTCCAGCAAGGCTTCATCTCGGGCAGGGCGCTCATTAAACACATCCTTCTCATGGGCGCGGAATTCAGGATTGCTTCGATGGGCCCGCAGGCCGCGGAGAACCATCCAGCTTTCATCAGCTTCGACTTCTCTTCGGCTTTTGCGAGCCTGAACAGAACGTATCTGTGCAGAGCTCTGGAGCGTTTCATAATCCCTCTCGGCTACAGGCGTGCCGTAGCTGGTCTATACTCCCACGTGGTAGGCTATGTCAAAGCGGGAGGCAAACGTGTGAGTGAGATCCCAATCCTCTCGGGCGTGGCCCAGGGGTGCCCTCTCAGTGGCACTTTGTGGACACTTGGGCTTGATTCCTTCCTTCGTCTCCTCTCTCGGGAGCTCCCCACTTGTCAGCTTGGTTCTCTCGGAGCCTGCGCGGACGACATCGGCGCGGTCCTTCGCGCCTTGAAGACGATTCGCGTCCTTGCGCCCCACTTTCTCCAGCTCCAGAAAGTAGCGGCACTATCTCTGCAGGCCGTCAAGTGTGTGATCGTTCCCCTCTAGACCGACCTTACAGATGAGGTCAAATCTGTGGTCCAGGCAGAGCTCTCCCGGCGGGCGCCCTGCTGGTCTCAATTTCTGGCCGCCTCGCAAGCGAAATATCTCGGAGCCCTCCAAGGCCCGGGCGCGACCCTCGACAGTGAATGGGCTGTCCCGTTCCATACGTGGCGCAGCAGGTGCATTGAGCTCGGTGCTCTTGCCTGTTTCGCTGGCGTATCTGCCAGATTGTACAACTCGTCGGTCTTGCCCTGCCCGTCCCATGTGGCGCAGTTTACCCCATCAGCAACGCCATGAGGAAGAAATAGCTGTGGGGCCTCCATAAGACCTTGCACCTTCCGCCCAACTCTTTCGCTCTCTCTCTGAGCTCCTCTCTCTCGGCACGTGGCCCCCCTTCCCCGTCCCCGTCTCGCTCTTGTCCACTGCCATGGCTTGTGCCTGGCGCTGTGCTTCGCTCGCGCTCGATTCCTTTTGGGGCCCCCTTCGCCGCCGTTTCAGGGACGCCGCGGAGGCCTCAAGTGCTGCCGGGGGCCTCGGAGTAGTCGACCTCGTCCAGGGTAGCTGGTGCGCCCCATGGTGGCAGCGTCGGCAAGCGATTGTTCAATACTATGAGCAGCTTCGCTCCGCCGCGCCGATGCCGCACCCCCCTCTCTCCTCTGAGTCGTTTTGCCTCGCCCAGCGCCGGGCGCGAAGCGCCGTGCGTGAGGCCGCCCCGGAGGGTCGTCGGCCCAAGTTGCAAAGACTCTATACGCGTACCTTTGCGATTTTTGCCTATCCCGATAAGCTTGAGCTCTTAATTGGGCGTCGCCTGCGGTCTTGGTTTGATTGTCCTACTCCACGGCGCATGAGAGCGAGATGGGACCTGGTGCGGGAAATCCTGTGTCGGGCTCCTCCGAGCGTTCGCTGGCCGTACCTCAAGGCGATTTTTTTTTGGGATGGACCGCCACGGACCGAATGCACGCTACAGACACGTTATGGAGCTGTGCTTATGGGTGTTCCCACACCATTCGCATAGCGCACCATTCGAAGTGCCCGCGTCTCACCTACCTCGGTTGTCGTCCTCGTGCTGTCGTCTCGCCGTGCCCCCTCCTCCGTCTAGGGCTTGGGCCCCCTGTGCAATATACCGCGTTTGACTTCACCCGGGAAAATGCAATTCCAGCAGCAGCTCTCAGCTTCTATATTTAGCACGTTGCTAAGGACATCGCCTCGCATCAAGACGGGCGCCCCTTACCTCTACCGCAGCAGCTAGATGCCCTCAAAGCGGCATTAGCCAACCTGCCAACCAATGACTCGATTTTACCCTTTCCGCCCAAAGCGGCTAGGCCATGCAGCTGGCTTAGGCCGAGGCGTCGAGGTTGAGTCGTTGACGAACTCTGCGGAAGGTACTGGCGCTCCTCCTCCTCCTCCTCCTCGTCCTCCACGTCCCCCTCCTCCCCCTCCTCCTCCTCCTCCTCCTCCTCCTCCTCCTCCAGTTTTCGGCTCGCGAGGAGCTGCCTCCCCCCCTTGGGCGCCTGCGGGGCAGGCGAGGGGGATAGGCTCCTGGCGCGCGCCGAGACCAGCGCTCGCGACGGCGGCGGCTCCGCGGGAGACTGCTGCCCATCATCGAGCGCGACTGCAACGCAAGGAGGACAGGCTCCTCCTCCACGCCTGGTCGGGGCGCACGACCCCTGCGCCGGTTGCCAGGCTGCGCGGCGCGGCCCAGAGGCTGGACGCCCATCGCGGCTCCTCTGCAGGGGCGATGGCGCCCGCGCCGCCGATGGCGAGAGTGCTGCGCGGACCCCGCGAGCCTGTGTGGGGCTGCCAGTGTGGGAAGAACAACAACTGGGCGTGCCGCATCGTGTGCTCCTGCGGGCGGCAGGCGTCTCAGAAGGTCGTCAACGCCGCCAAGGAAGCGGACCAGGAGGCACGGGACAAGAAGCCTTCACAGAGGGCAGGCGGCACAGGGCTCGTGCGGAAGCCTGCCCCATGGTCCAAGGAGTACGGCCTCACGGAGAAGCAGATCCGCGAGCTGGTGCTGCAGTGCATCTCCCAGCAGGCTGGCAGCCCCAAGTGGACCCCTGCGTCTACGTCACCAGCGTCTTCAGGAGTGGGAGCTGGCAGCAAGGAGCAGACGCAGCAGGGGCAGGGCAATGTCCAGCAGCGCACGGAGCTCCAGGCGAAGATCAATTTCCACGAGAAGTGCATCAAGGAGTGCAAGATCGTGGAGGCAGAGGGCGGCCCAATTCACCTCCTGCACCAGCGGGCTCTCGACGTCCTTCGGCAGCAGGCGCGTGAATTGCGCCCCCCAGGCGCTGCATGCAAGGCCTCGTCCCAGAAGCTCGCGAGGTGCATGCAGCAGCTGGGCCGCTTCACCAGCGACCTGCAGGGCCTCGAGGCGCAGCTGGCGGCTACCCAGCGCAAGATCCAGGACAAGCAGGAGGCCATCGCTGCAAAGCATGCTGAAGTGGAGGTCCTGCGCAAAGAGAATGCAAAGCACGAGCAGACCATGCAGGCCGCACGGGGTGAGAAGCCCAACCCAGTCATCAAGGAGGAGGACTTGGTGGGTTTCGACCTCGCCGAGCAGCTCGACGACGGCGCAAAGGAGGCCCTCGAGCAATTCAAGGCGAGCCCCCATTTCGACAAGATCCAGGCGGCCCTCCGCAAGCAGGCGGCAGAGAAGCTGGCTACAGCCATGGCTGAGGAACCTGGTGCTCATGCTCCTCATGCTGAGGGCGGTGGCGCAGGAGCAGCCGACGGGCAGCCAGCTCGGGATGACGAGGACATGGACGAGGACGCTGACGGCGACGCCCAGCCTCGAGGAGGTGATAAGCGCGGCGCCGCCTGGGTGGAGCTGGTCAAGGATGACGTCGGCGCCCTCTGGCAGCAGCTCCTCAGCAGCGGGCAGCAGCCGCCTTCGGACTGGACCAAGGAGAAGCTGGACGACGCGTTCACGCAGGTCCAGAACAGCAAGCACCGCAGAACCGCGGCAGGCTCCCTGGGCACAGGCACGCTGCCTGGGTAACCCGCCCTTGGTCAGCGGGCTACTGGCCGCCAGCGCGGGCGCAAAGCAGCTACATGTGCCAGCAGCGGTCACTGTCACGCACACCTTCGAGACCTTCAACGCCAACCAGGGAAAGCTAACCCTCCAGAAGCGGCTGCGAAGGTCAACAGCTATGGTCATCATGGCCCAGGAGATCGGCTACGGCATCGATGACTGCGAGAGCCTCTCTTCATGGGCAACGGCACGTGGCTGGCAAAGCCTCATCGTGCCAGGGCTGCCCTCACGAGGGCATCTCCCCTCTGCAGGCCTGGCAGTGTTTGCCAGGGAGGGGATCGGGCTGCGCGGGCCCACGTACCCCGGCGACGCCCCGCCCAGACGTGCATGCAGCGTCAACGAGACCATCTCGCACGGCACCGAGCTAGTCCGCGGCAGGGCTCAACACGTCGTCGTGGAGCTGCCGAACTGGCCGCCGCTCAACGTCGTCAACGTCTACCTCCACACAGGGGAGGGCATGAGCAGCCGCAACGCCAGCATCCTCATGACGGTGGGGATCGCGCTCGCGGGCCAGAGGCACCCTGGCATCATCGGCGGCGACTGGAACATGGACGTACAGGTTGTCAAGGACTCTGGTTTCCCCGTGCACGCGCAGCTGGAGATGGTCACCCCGAGGCACGCGACTTGCAGAACAGCGGCATCGGTCTCCACCATCGACTACTTCGGGCTAACCACGGGCTCCATGCGCATGCTAGCAGCTTGCAAGGCCGACTTGACCTGGGCAGTAAAGCCGCATCGACCAGTTCAGCTACAACTGACAGCGGAGGGCACCAAGCTCAGGTACCTCACCTACGTCGGAGGCGCGAAGATACCAGCGCAGACTGTGCACGGCCCATTCCTCGAGGAGAGCAGCTGGTCCCTGGAGCGCAGCTTTGCTGAGCAGGCGCTGATTTTGGCCAAGGAGGCGCCCGCTGCTGTCGCCTGGCGCTTTCTCTCGAAGGCTTGGGGCCGATGGGCGACCAGAGCGGCCTCGAGGCTCGGGCATCTCACAGCTACGGAGATGCGGGCCAGCGCCTACGCTCGCCCGCTTCAAGCCAAGTGGGTCGAGCGTGAGCACCAGGTCCTCACGGAGGAGGAAGTGCAGGCAATCGCGGATGGATGGAAGTGGCCGCAGGATTGCCTGGCGGGCCTCTCCACTGCGAAGGCGAAAGCCAGGACACCTGAAGGCCGACAGGTTCTCGACAACGAGGTGCAAGGCTTCCTCACTGGTGACTACTGTGGCCAGAACCTCAGCGCGCGGCTTGACGCATCTGCGCGGCAAGCTCGGCAGCTAGCGCAGAGGAATTTCAGCAGTGAGGACATCATGACTTTCTCGGAAGACATTTAAGAGGATGTCAAATTCGCCATGCAGCAAGCGAACAAGGAATCTTCGAAGCGCTGGAAAGAGTGGTGCGACGGGGCCTGCGCTGGCGGAGCGAGGAAGCTTCACAAGGTCACGCGAGTACGAGAGGTTCAGGCCCCCACTACGGTCAATGACTCAGAGAACGGCATCACAGGGCACCCGCACTTCGTAGTCAAGGATATGGAGGATACGCACGCAGCGCTGTGGAAGGCGGTGAAGGAGGCCCCCCAGGCGTGGATTCCTGACAGGTCGACCCTAGAACGACCTTCACCAGAGGAACTTCGGCGAGCATCACGTACTTTCAGCATCACGACCTCCAGCAGCCTGGACGGCCTCCACCCTACGCACCTGGAGCACCTCAGCGACGACGCGCTGGAGGGCCTGTGCGACATCTTGCTGGCCTGCGAGGCGCTGGGCCTCTTCCCCGTCCAGCTGACGTGGATGGTGATGCCGATGTTGCCAAAGGCCGCTGGAGGCCACAGGTTGATCATCCTGTATTCCATGGCCTACAGAGTCTGGCAACGACTCCGCAAACCTGCCCTTCGACCTCTACAAGAGGCCTTGCGTAGGCCATACTGGGCGGCGGCCAAGAACAGAAGCGCTATCGACAGTGCCTGGATCCTGGCGGCGGATGCGGAACAGAATGTAGAGGCAGGGCGGCACACGGCCACAATCATCGCCGACTATAGCAAGTACTACGAGCTCATTCCCCTGGACGAAGCAAGGGGTAAACTGCTGAGGCTCGGTATGCCAGTGGCGATGGTTAAAATTGTGTACAACCAGTGGCGAGGGCCACGTGTGATACGTCTTCACCAGCATCATGGTGCGCAGCCACGGCATGCAAAGTTCGGCCTTCCAGCAGGAGATGGCTACGCAGACGTGGTCAGAAAGGCGCACGCCATCGAGCAGTACGACGTATGCGTCACGCTCCACCCGCTGGTCAGGTTCGCGTCCTACATCGACGACACCTCCCTAGGCATCAACGGGGCCACCAAGGAGAACGTCATCCTGCAAGCGGTCGCGGCGGGCAATGCCTTTTTCAAGGTAGCTAAGAAGCTCGGCGCCCGCCTCAATGATAAGCTGGCGGTGGTGGCCAGCTCAGATGATATTGGGAAGGAAGTGGTGCGGCAGCTGAAGTTACCCACAGATATGAATCGCAGTCGGGCAACCTACCTGGGCACGGACTTCGCGGGAGCACGGAGAAGGCGAGGGAAGCTCCTACGCGCCAAGCAGCAGGCGCGCCATAAGATCTACAAGCAGAGGCTGCGCAAGCTGGGCAGATTTCGACATCGACTTCCAGGACAGCAGACGCAGCGGACGGCCAAGATCTTCCGAGCTGGAGCTCGACCAGCGGCCACCTTCGGCGTGGAGATCAACGGGCTCACAGACAGGGAGCTCCACAAGCTGCGCACGGACTTCGGCAAGTTCAGCAGACCCTGTCATGGGGGCGTCTCGGCCTCGGCCAAGGTAGTGCTCCTAGGCGACCCCACGTTGGCGATTGCAATGGCGCCAGTGCTGCAGTGGTCGCGCATGGTCTGGATGGCAGTATCGCAACCTGAACAAGCACCAGTACCTCTGGCACTACTTACGACGTGGTGGAGAAGAGCGGTGGAAGAGCCCGGGGTATGCAGCTCGTGGGGAATGACCCGCGGGCCGCTCCAACGAGCTGCCCTCTCGTTGGCGAGGGCAGGATGGACAGCAACCTCGGCACTAAGGTGGCATAACCATCGAGGCGACCTGGTTTTTGTGGAGCAGCTCACCCCAGGACTACTGCTCCAGATGTTGCAGCAAGGCGTTCAATGTCAGCATGAGCGAGACCTAGCGAACAAGCTCGGACTAGGAGAGGGCAAGCGCGCCACCTTCGACATCCTAGCCCCCATGGTCTCCCTGCGAAGCAAGCGGTACACGGCGCACCAGAAGTTCTGCATCATGAATGTCGCGTGCAGTGGCGTCTGGACAAAGACGAGAGCCCAGCAGCGTGGATACTACACGGATGGTGGGTGTCCCTGTGGAGCCCCCGATTCTCTCGTGCACCGACTTCTTGATTGCACAAGACCTGAAGTTCAGCAAGCTCGAGCCGATGCAGAGGTCCCCCAAGTTTTCCTCGACGAGCTACGTCAGCATGCAGACGAGCCTGGGTATATCGAAGGCATAGTTGGATATGCTTGTGCTGATGTTCCGACAATGAGTTTGGGCACAACCAGCGTTATCCTTGACGGCCAAGGGGTTCCAGTTCCTGATGAGCAATGTCAGGAACCTGAGCAGATGGCAGCCTGCTTTCTCAGGGAACAGGACGCGAGTATGGAGGTCGCCACCGATGGCTCATGCACCAAGCCGCCCATCAAGGAATTCCAGCGAGCAGGGTGGAGCCTCGTCCTGCTCGATCCCCGCTCAGACAGGCCGCTGGCGACCATGCACGGAGCTGTACCTGCCTCCTTGCCCCAAGAATCGGCTGTCGGAGAGCATCTGGCGGTGGCCTTCGTGTCGCAGGTTGCGGACCGACCATGCACCGTCCACGCCGACTTCAAGGGCGTTATCCACTTGGGAAACAAGCAGAAGGAGCTGCAGCTGAAGGCCAGGACCCCCTACGCGTGCTTCGCCCACTTCGCGCAATCGCTCGACGGCTTCACGTACGTGCAGCAGTATGCCCACGTCAAGGCGCACCGCTCTGGGGACGACTACGCAGCGCTCTCCGACAGCCAGAGGAGGGTCACGGACGCGAACATCGTGGCGGACCTCAGGGCCAAGGAGGCAGCGGCGATCCACCCCGCCCCCGAGCAGGAGATAGTGGAGGAGATGCAGAAGGGCGTCGACAGAATCAGCCAGATTGCGAAGCTGATTGCCCACGTCATGCCCATCTTCGACAAGGACGACCAGCTCAGGTGGACCAGGAGAGCACCGACCCTGCGGCGGGCAGCGAGCACGAGGAAAGCAACATGGCACCAATGGCAAGATGGCGAGCTGGGCGTGCAATGCATCACCTGCCTACAGATGCACATGCCAGGGCAGCCACTTCCCCTCGCGGGGTGCCCTGGGACGCCCACTTTCCTGCTGGACCATCGGCGCAACCCCAACGGCCACAAGCTGGTAGCGGTCAACCAGAAGGGCACCTTGGACACCTTGGAGAGCGACGCGAAGGACACCTACAGGCCAGTGTTCATATGTGTGAAGTGCGGGGCTTGGGCGCTGCAGCGGCGCAAGGCCAAGTTACGGCAGCCTTGCGTAGCTGCCACCACCAAGGGCCTCGAGGTCCTCCACAACATGAGGCGCGGTGTCGGTCCTTTCAAGAAGCTGAAGAGGTTTATCGACCGCACCACCCCGCTTAGGCGGCTGGAGGCGACGAGCGAGGTACACACCACCTTCACGAAGGTCGACATCCTCAGCGGCACCGACGTGGCGGCGCCTGTGGCAGGGTTCGAGAGCAGGATGGCCGCACTCCACCAACGAGTGCGCGAAAGGGCACAGTTTTGGTGTGATGAACAGGAGATGCGAAACACCATGTTCGGGCACGCGGTGGCCAGAGGAGACTTCCAGCAAGAGGCAGGTCGCGGAGCTCGACGGGGTAGGCGCGCTGGGGCGCGCCTCAGGGGTGCTCAAGGAGCTGCTGCTGCTGGTGGACCCAGCGCCACCGCCAGCTCGGGGCAGCGGCGTGAGGCCAAGCAGGGCGTCGCCTCCTCGGCCGCGGCGGACTTCGTGGAGCACATCGAGGAGTATGCGGCTGCTGGGGCTGCTGGCGCGGGGGCGCTGCGCGGCTCAGCGGCGACCCTCGACGGCTCGGACGCGCTGGACGAACAGGTCGTGGACCCGCTGCGCGACGACGAGCACGGCACTCAGGCGGCAGTCGCTTGGGAGGTGCGCGGCATGGGCACGGACTGCTTCGACGGCTCGGCCGCGCTGGACGTCCAGGTCGAGGGCGCGATGGACGACGACGAGCACGACGCCGAGGCGGCAGCTGCTGCAGAGGTGCTCGGCCTGGCGATGGACCTCGACAGCTCGAGCGCGCTGGACGACGGCCTCCTGGGCGCGCGGGGGTTCGGCGCTGAGGATGCCGTTGCTGGGGAGGCAGGCAGCTCGCTGGCAGTCATCGATGGCTCGGGCGCGCTGGACGACGACATCAAGGGCGCGCTGGGCGGCGCTGTGCACGACGCGGAGGCCGCAGCTGCGGGGGCGGCAAGCGGCCTGTCGGCGGGCGTCGTCGGCTCGCACGCGCTGGACGTCGCCCCCGTGAGCGCGCTGGGCGACACCGCGCACGGCGCCGGGGCGGCTGCTGCGGGGGCCGCGAGCGGATCGGCTGCGGCAGGCGGCGCCTCGGACGCGCTGGACGGCAACGCCGCGGCGGCGCTGGGCTCGCTGGGTTTCGCTGAGCGCGTCGCCCGTCTCCTGGCGGCGGCTGGCGCGCGCGAGCAGCAGCCCCCAGGCGCGGCCGCACCCAGCCTGGGCGAGTGCGACGGCGGCAGCGCCTCCACTGCAGCCGAGGGCAGCGGGCGCGGCGCTGAGGCGGCCGCAGCGGGGGCAGTGCGAAGGCCGTCGGCCACGTACCCCCCTCTGCGCCACGGGCACGCCTGGGAAAGAGTCCCCGCCCTCGGCGGTTGGCCAGGGCCCTGGGATCCTCAGGCCGCACCGAGCGTTCGAGGGCAAGGACGTGGTCACGGCGGCGTGATCGACGACCACGTGGCCGAGCTGGACGGCGACCGCCGTGGCCCGCTCGGGGGCCCCGAGCACGGCGACGAAGGTGCTGCTGCTGGGGCATTGCCGCGGGCGGCCAGGGCCAGCGCTGACTCCGAGGAGTCGAGGGCGAGCGCGGAGGCCAGGGCAGCCGCCTTCAAGCAGCTCGTCGCGCTGGCGCGGACGTCGTGAGGCCCGTCGGCAAGTTCGTGCTCCTCATCTGAGGAGGCAGGCCAGGCGGCCGAACCCTGACTTCAGGGATCGTCATCCTCCTCCTCCTCCTCCTCCTCCTCCTCCTCCTCCCCTTCCTCCTCCTCCTTCTCCCCCCTCCCCTTCCTCCTCCTCCCCCTCCACCTCCCCTTCCTCTTCCTTCTCCTCCTCCTTTTCTGGGGCTTCGACGATACGAACCCTTGAAGCTATTGCGAACAGTGTGCGCGGCTCTGAAGCGAGGGCCACCGTTTTAAAGCATGAGTGCCCTTCACCCTTGAAGCTGTTGCAAACATTTGAGACAACTATGTGGGGCTCTCAGGCGAGAGCCATATGCAAGGCGAATGTGCGCGGCGCCAAAACGAGGGCCACGTGTTCAAAACGGCCCGCCCTCCATCAATGAAGCTGTTGAGGAGCTCACACTTCATGGTCATAAAGGGCGAGGAAGTCTCAGGCGCAGCGCCTGGCACGCCCGACTGACAGTGATGGAGGTGGAGGAGAAGGGGGGGGAGAAGGAGGAGGAGGTGGAGGAGGAGATAGATGCGGGTAAGGGGGGGAGGAGGAGAAGGAGGAGGAGGAGAAGGAGGAGGAGGAGGAGGAGGAGAGGAGGAGGAGGGGGAGGGGAGGGGGAGGAGGAGGGGGAGGAGGAGGAAGGAGGAGGAGGAGGAGAGGAGGAGGAGAGGAGGAGGAGGAGGAGGAGGTGGAGGTGCAGGAGTAGGAGGAGGAGGAGGAGGGGAGGAGGAGGAGGAGGAGGAGGGGGAGGAGGAGGAGGAGGAGGAGGAGGAGAGGGAGAGGGAGGAGGAGAGAGGAGGAGGAGGAGGAGGAGGAGGAGGAGGAGAAAGGGGGAAGATCAGCAGGATGAGGAGGATGACGAGGAGGAGGAGAAGGAGTAGGAAGACTAGGAGATTGAGGAGGAGGAGGAGGAGGAGGAGGAGGAGGAGGAGGAGGAGGAGGAAGAATGCGAGGTGGAGGAGGGCTACGCGGATCCTTTTTAGTGAGTCTTCTTGGGCCATCTCGGGGCACTCGTTCGGCCCTCTCGAGGGCCTCTTGGAGCACTCATTGGGTTGCACTTTTGGGGTGGTCTTCAGGCTCTTGTTTTTTTTGGGGAGGGCTTGGAGCCTGCTTCGGGCGCTTCTGAGCCCCATTGCACACACGGGGGGATCCCTTGAGCCCCCCCCCCTGGCGTCTTGGGGTCCCCTTAGGCTCCTCTTGGGACTCGTTGGGGCCATCTTGGGTCCATCCTGGGCCCCCAGAGGCACGGCACATCGGACGCAATACGGCGAGAACGTACAAACCAATGCTTGCCTAAGGTGTTGGTTGACTTTGGCGTCTGCGGGGGTTCTTTTGGAGGCTCCGAGAGTATTTGGAGACGCTTTGGGGGCTCTCGGAGGTATGTTGGAGGCTATCACGCACAACCTTCGACTATTTAGTGCCATCCGGGCCATCTTGAAGCCATCTTGGGCCATATTGCACGTTCCAGCCCCTTCGCCCCACGTCCAAAACCAGGGTAGAGGGTAGAGGGGAGAGGTTAAGTTCCCAGCGGGAAGGCCGCAAGTTGTCCCGCGCACCATACCACTCGCCTTCCCACGACAAGTCGCACCACAGTCTCAGCATAGGCAGGGGCCACCAGCGACAACCATCGGACAGCGCGATGCCCGCGAGGTGCGCCGTGCGTGCGATGCCCTCTTGGAGCGCTTGAGGGCCGTCTTGGGGCCTTTTTTGGAGGCTCTTGGGCGATCGTGGGGTCCTGTTGGGCCGACTTTGGGCCCTCGTTGGGGGCCTCATGGGCTGTCTTGGAGCTATCTTGGCGGCCTCTTGGCCCGTCTTGGGCGACCGGATACCCAAACAAGTGAGATCCTCCTAGTCCTTCAAACATCGAAGGGATTTTGTTCGCCTTCTCGGGCTCTCCTGGAGTGCCTCTTGGAGCCCTCCTGGACCGTCTTGGAAGCCTCTTGAGCCGTCGTACAGCCGTGTGGGAGCCTCTTATGCCGTCTTGGGTCATCTTGGGCCGTCTTGATGTCATCTTGGCTGTCTTGGAAGCCGTCTCGAGAGCCAGCTTGGCAGCCTTGAGGCCGAATGTAGCGCTGGAGAGCAAATTCATGGGAGGTTTTTTTTGTGAGGGGTCGGTGCCAAGGGGGGTGGGGCGTCGGCCCTGGACAACACGAAGACACCTCTCAGACATGTTCCAGACAACGGACGAGCACCGAGCATTTTCTTTGGGCGGAGGGCAAAGGGTGACATCTGAAACGCCGTTCCGATGGATTCTCGAGGCTTGAATCTGCAAAAAGTGGATCACAGGGCGGATTGATTTTCGAGGCGCAGACGAAGCCCATACGGATCTCACCGTCAAAGCCCTCCACCCTAAGAAGCTGCTCAGTGTAGGTCCGTGCGGTGTCGTCGCGGCGGCGACCCCCTGGCGCGTGGCGTTCAGGGCCGAGCGTCGCCGGTGGCCCAGAGTCGTCCATAGCACGGCGCGAGCCGGTGCTCGAGGCCTCCGCCGAGCGTTCAATGGTGGACCGATCTCCGCGCGGCGTCCGCGGACGGCGTGCAGGTGCACCGTCCCGCGCGCTGGCGCCTCCCCGAGGTGCCGTCGATCGCCTGCCCCTGCAGGCACGGTGCGGTGCATAGCTCTCCTCGGCGATCGCAGAGGGTGTGGCTACGCCGGGGTGTGGTTTGCTATCGGCCTCGTTGGGGCCTGGGGGGCACGACGCTGTCCTCGGCGGGCCTCCTCGGGGCGCGGGAGAGCTCTATCGAGGTCCCCGCGCGCCCCCCAGGGTGCCCCCCAGGATGGTCCCCAGGGTGCCGGTTGCAAACCACACCCTTTGCAAACCACACCCTTTGGAGTCGCCGACTCTTCGGACCCCCAAGCCAGCAGACCATGCACCGTACTGCGTGAGAGCGGGGCCCGAAGGGAGTCCAAACGTGGTGCGGTGCATGGGCGCCGCTCTCATACGGTGTCCGCCAGCGCGGGAGTCGTGACGGCACGAGCCTGCCGCACGCCATGAGCGGGCGCAGAAGTCAGCGGCTGCCCAAACCATCGGCCCCGCAGGCGATCCTGAACCTGCCGCCCGCGGTGCGCCCGGGGGGCGTATGAAAGCGGGGTGTCGCGCCACGGACCCCAGACCGCGAGCGCGCGGGTATGGATGTACTCGCCGCTCGTGACATGCTTTCTCCGAAATAGGATGAAAGAAACACTGCGTACACATAACACATTCGACGATCCGCGCGGATTTCTTGTATCGGCTCTGGGCCCCCCTGGCAGTACTTCCGGCGCCGCCCCTGGTGCGCTCCGCACGCCAGGGAGGCGGTACAAGCGCCGATCCGAGAAATCCGCGCGGACTTCTTTCTGTTTGAGCAGTTTGTTGCTCCTCCGCTTCCTCCCCCGCGACACCTCGCGCAGGTCCGCGGGGTCCGCGCCGCGTACTTCGCCAAGCACGTGCCGCCCAGGCAGCTGAACCGGGCCAGCCAGCTGGCCTCCTCCAGCGGGCTGGCAGGCGGCTGCCGCTGCTGTCTCCCCGTGCCCCCCTCCGCGCTCCGCCCCATGCCCCCTCGAGGGAAGGAGGAGGAGGAGGAAGGGAGAAGGATGGCATGTATGAGGATGGAGAGGGGAGAGAAGGAGGGGACGGAGGAGGAGGAGGAGGAGGAGGAGGAGGAGGAGGAGGGAGACGGAAGAAGATGGTGGAGGAGGTGGAGTAGGACGCGGAGCAGGAAGAGGAGGAGGAGGAAGACGAGGAAATGCAGTAGGAGAGGGAGGGCGGGAGGGAGGAGTTGGGATAGAGGAAGGAGTAGGAGAAATTTAGCAAGCGAGAATGTGATGAGGATTGAAAGTGTTACGTAGCTTGGGTTCGATTGGACGAGGAGGAGCATATATCATGACGATGACGATGACGATGACGATGATGCTGATGATGATGCTGATGATGCTGATCATGTTGCTGTTGTTGATGATGATGAGGATGATGATGATGACGATGATGATGATTCGGATGACGATACTGACCATGATTTTCATGATGATGCTGCTGCCAATGATGAGGATGCGAATAATGATGATTACTGTGATGACAATGCTGCCGATGAGCAGTGTGATGATGCTACTGATGATGATGGTGGCGGTAAGGATGATTATGATGATGCTGTTGATGATGATATGGAGACTGATGATGACCATGCCAATGCTGATGATAAGCATGATGTTGACGACAGTGATGGTGAGGATGATGATTCTAATGGGATGATGTTGGTCATGCTGCTAATGACTATGGTGGTGACGATGGTGATGCTGCCGGCGATGCTGCTGCCGATGATGTTGATCAGGTTAACGATAATGATGATGCTGTTGCTGATGGTAATGATGATGGTGATGATGATGCTGGTGATGATGATGATGATGATGATGACCCTGGCAACGCTTATGATGAGCATTCGGATGATGATGAGGAGGACTATGCGAAGGTTGATGACTGTGCTAGCGATACTGATGCTGCTGTTGAAGATGATGGTGACGGCGATTAGGATGATCTTGCTGCTGATGTTGCTGCTGATGATAATGATGATGCTGATGTTGGTGATGATGGGCACGATGCTGCTGACGATGACGACGACGATGACGATGACGATGACGAGGACGACGACGATACTGATGATGAGTATGAGCACGAGGATCATGATGAGGAGGATGATGATGATGAGCATGACGATGATGACGACGATAACGATGGTCATGATGATGGCTATGATGATGAGGCGATGGTGATGATGATGATGATGATGATACAGATGATAATGCTGTTGATGATGATGATAGTGATGATTCTGGTGAGTGTGGCGATGATGCTGCTGCTGATGTTCATGAGGTTGCCGATGATGATGACGATGCCGTCGATGGTGCTAAGGATAATGATGCTGATGATGATGATGCTTGTGATGCTGGCGCGGCTGATTATGATGATGATGATGATGATGATGATGATGATGATGATGATGATGATGATGATGATGATTATGATGATGATGATGATGATGAGGATGATGATGGTGACAATAATGTGGATGAGTATGATGAGCATGGTGATGATGACGATGATGATGATGCTGATGAGCATGATGCTGCTGCTGATGAAAATTGCTACGATGACGAAGATTATTGTTATGCTGATGCTGATGATGGTGGTGGTGGTGGTCATGGTGATGAGGATGCTGATGATGATCATGATGATGATAATGATCAAGATGATGCTGCTGCTGATGCTGCTGATGATGAGAAGAGCTGCTGACGTTGTTGTTGCAGCTGTTGTTGACGATGATGCTGCTGCTAATGATGATTCTGAGCGTGATGCTGATGTTGATGATGATGCTGCTGACGATGATGATGATGATGATGATGATGATGCCGTTGCTGATGATGATGATGCTGATGCTGATGATGAGGATGAGGATGAGGATGAGGATGAGGATGATGATGATGATGATGCTGATGATGCTGGCGATGGTGATGGTGATGCTGATTCTGATTATGATGCTGCTGATGATGATGATGATGATGACGATGACGATGACGATGATGATGATGATGATGATGATGATGATGATGATGATGATGCTGATGATGATGATGATGATGATGATGATGATGATGATGATGATGATGATGATGATGATGATGGGGAGGAGGAAATGGACGAGGACGAAGAGGAGGAGGCGGAGAATGTGCAGGAGGATGAGAAGAAGGCTTACAAGGAGGAGTGAGGAGGAGGCGGAGGAGGAGGAGGAGGAGGAGGATGAGGAGGAGGAGTGATGAGGAGGTAATGCAGGAGTTTGGGGTAGAGGAGGATGAGGACGACGAGGACGACGACGACAATTATAACGACGTAGCGGCGACGAGGACGAGGGAAGGACGAGGGGGATGATGATGATGATGATGATGATGATGATGATGATGATGATGATGATGATGATGATGATGATGATGATGATGATGATGATGATGATGATGATGATGATGATGATGCGGAGCAGGAGGAGAAGGAGGAGGAGGAGGAGGAGGAGGAGGAGGAGAGGGACCGGAGGAGAGGGACCGGAGGAGGGGGAGGAGGACCTCGGGTCTGCGGCGTTCGTTGCTGTCGCGCGCAAGTCGACTGGCCTGCTCCTCAACCTCCGATGTTACTTCTTCAGGCTTCTCAGCCCGTGGACCCCAGAGTCTCTCGACACCAACCCTTGAACGAGTGTGTCGTGCAGGCCGCTTTTGTTGATGGTCGCAGTGCCGAGAAGGCAGTACCCAGGGGGGGTAGCGACCAGGGGGGTCGCCAATTCCTCGAGAAAGAGAACCAGACGGGCTCGTCTCTTGCTCCTGGCCGTACCCTGTTCTCCGTTGGGCCGTCCGCTCCTCCTCCCGCTCCTGCTCCAGCCCCTTCTCCGCTTTCCCTCCTTCCCTTCTTTTCCTTCCTTCCTCCTCTCCCCTCTTTTGGGGACCCAGGTCAAGTGAGTCGTTTCTCGGCAGGTGCGCCTCGCCGAAGCGACGGATTCTGCCCCTAGCTAGCGACACAACCACGGGTTACTGAATGCATCTGGCTCCACAGCGCCACCGCCCAGCCCCGCGTAGGGCCGCCCCCCTTGGGAGGCTCTAGGCGCAGCCTCAGCCTCGGCCTCTCTCCTCTTCTGGCCTCGGTGGGTCTCGAGGAGAAGGAGAAACGAGGATGAGCAGGAGGAAGAGGAGGAGGATCAGCAGGAGGAGGAGGAGGAGGAGGAGGAGAAGCGAGGAGGAGAAGCGAGGAGGAAAAGCCCCCAGAGATCGATCCCACCGCCCCGAACCTTTTGGGCCAGGGCGCAAACATAAACTTTCGGAGCTCCCTCCAGTAGTGTGCGGGGTGTCCCAGCCAGAGTCATACGAATAGGAACAATGATAATAAGAAGCAGCAGCAGAAGAAAATTATCCCAGTGCGACCCTACCTAGGAGTTGGAACCCCTAGGAAAGCAGCATTAGTAGTAACAGTAACGCTAAGCTAAAGCTAAGCTAAAGCTAAGCTAAAGCTGAGCTAAAGCTGAGCAACAGCTACGCTAAAGCTAAGCTAAAGCTAAGCTGAAGCTAAGCTAAAGTTAAGCTACAGCTAAGCTAACGCTAAGCTAAAGCTAAGCTAAAGCTGAACAACAGCTAAGCTAAAGCTAAGCTACAGCTAAGCTAAAGCTAAGCTACAGCTAAGCTAAAGCTAAGCTAACGCTAAGCTAAAGCTAAGCTAAAGCTAAGCTAAAGCTAAGCTACAGCTAAGCTCAAGCTAAGCTAAAGCTAAGCTCAAGCTAAACTAAAGCTAAGCTAAACGCTAAGCGAAACGCTAAGCTAAAGCTAAGCTACACCTAAGCTAAAACTAATCTAAAGCTAAGCTAAAGCTAAAGCTAAAGCTAAAGCTAAAGCTAAAGCTAAAGCTAAAGCTAAAGCTCCCAGGGGACTGGGGGGAACCGCTCCCAGGGGACTGGGGGAACCGCCCGGGGCGCTTTCCACTGCCCGGCCCCTTTAAGCTAAGAGAGTAAGAACCCTTCTAGGCAGAGCCTAGGTAGGGAACTAATTCTTATACAAATGAGACCATGCATCGTAATTTATCAAGAGAGGGATCTCTTCTAGCCGAAGAAGTCACGACAGCATAAGCATACACTTTCTGCTCTTCGCATGGATTTCTTGAATCGGCGGCGCGACCCCCCTGGAGGCGCCTCCGGCGCCGCACCCTGCGCTCTCCGCGCCCCAGATGTGGGGGGGGGCCCAGCGCCGATCCAAGAAATCCGCGCGGAGCTCTGGAAGATTATTTGAGTGCAGTTCTTCTTCCTCTAAGTAGATGGGGTCGGAGGATTGCGCCGCATCGCCGATGCATCGGCGATGCGGCTCGATGTGGAGCCAGATTTTCTCCACACCGACTTCACCGATGCATCGGCGATGCGGCGCGATCCTCCGGCCCCATCGACCGACCCCGTCTGGGCGACCTCTATTTCTGGGGCCCACCTGACGGATCTGTTCGACTCCAGTGCGATGATAGCTCGGCTCTCTAGCTCGACTCTAGCCCGATTCACCTTCGGCCTGAGCTCGAACCGAGTTGACGGACGTTTGACGCAGCATGGACGCATGGGCGGAGCGAGTGGCTCCACAAGGGTCCCCAGGACCTCCTGGGGCCCTGTGCCGGAGCCCTGGGCTGCTGAGCAAATTGCCCAGGGTGTAAAGTCGGCCCCGAGGAAGGGTTCCAGACTGGTGTTGCGGCGCGTACAAAGGGGCAAGGGGGAGGGGGGGAAGGCTCGATAGGAGGAGGCTGCATCTCAGAAGGCGCCGGCCCTGCCTCTACAGAGAAGGCCCGCGCCTCGTAAGATGCAGGGGTGCTTCTGAGAATCCTTCCCCCCTGCCCCTGCCCCCCTCTGCGCGTGGCTTTGGGGGGGCACGCTGCGGAACAATCACGGGGCCGGGGGCCTGGGGACGTGGCCTGGGAGGGTCTCGCGGAGCGGTGGGTTCAGGCCTCGGCCGTCTTGCAGGAGGATGATGAAGAGGAGGAGGAGGAGGGGGAGGAGGAGGACGCGGAGAGGGGGTGGGGGAGGGGGAGGGGCAATCTAGGTGCGTTCGCGTCATATCTGACGTCCTACCCCTCTCTCCCATCCCTGACCATGGCGTAGATCTCCTCTCTATTCGCACAATCGGATGTCGCAGCATGGCATAGCGTTACATGGCGTAGCATGGTGTTGAAGATCAACGCGTAGCCTGACATAGCATGGCGTGGCGACGCCCCAAAGTGGGCGGGGGCTTCTGCGGCCCAAAAATCAACGAATCGACACCGAATGTGCAACCACTTCCGATGGTTTTTTCGGGAGGCCACTTTCAGGATTTTGGGGGATATTTGGAAGGACCGAAATTCCATGCTGTGGCATGGCGCTGGAAATCACGACGCCAGCGCTGCAGCGGGAGCACGATTCGGAACGAGCGGAAGCGCGGAAATGAGTCCAGCGCTGCAGCGGGAGCAGGATTCGGAATGAGCGGCAGCCCGAAATCGAGGCCAGCGCTTCAGCGAGAGCATCATTTTGGGAAACAACAGCTCCCGGGAATCCTGTGTGTAAAATCCAGTATGCTGAGGGGGTCCGGACATTTCCCGGACGCCACCACGAGAGAGAGGAGAGTAGTATCCGTATGGTGTAATTGTGGAGAGGTTGGGGTCGAGGCGGAGTTGCTGTCCCATCATCCTCGGCCTCCAGCGGCCGTCGCTCCCTCGGGCTTCGCGCGCAACATCAGAGACGGCTCGGGTGAGGAAGCGCCGGCACCCACGGCGACGACCCCTCCTCCCTTTCCTGCTCCTCCTCCTCCTCCTCCTCCTCCTCCTCCTTCTCCTCCTCCTCCTCGTCCTTCTTCCCCTCCTCACCATCCTCCTCCTCGTCCTCCTCCTCACATTCTTCCTCCCCTTACCTCCCGAAGTTCGAGAGCCTGACCAGGCCCACGGCGTGAGAAGAAGTCGCGGCGTCGGGGGTTTGGGCACGGCTGCCATGTTTCCCGCCCTCGGTGGGGCGCGGCGGGAAGGTGCCCATCGCCCAGCGCCGAGCGAACCCCTCGGGCAGCACGTCTCCGACCCCAGCGGCTGTGGACAAGTCCTTGGCGGCGGCACCTGCCCAGACATCCGGCGGCAGAATTGCTGCTCGGGGCGAGGCCCCAGGGGCCCCGACCCCTCCGGGGGATGGCTTTCCGCCCCGGGTTCGGGTTCGTGCCCGATGCTCCCGACCGAGTGGCGGCCCCCAGGGTCGCCCGGATCGACCAAACCATGCCGTCGGAGATCTGGGCAGCGTGGAGGGGCCCGTGGGCGGCACGCCTCTGACTCCGGGGGCTGTGCGCTGCCCCCCGGCGGCGGCGGCACCTGGCGCGGGCACAGACCCCCGAAGTCGTGGCGTTCTCGCGGCGTGGGCCCCCCCCAGTCGAGCAGGAGATCGACTGCAGTGTTGATTCGCCACAGCTTTTTTGGCCGAGCCGGCAAACATCTGAAGAGTGGTCGTAGATCCACGAACGGTCTACGTACTGTTCGTAGCTTCGACGCACGCTTCCACCTTGGGCGTGGATCCATCCTGCAGTCGATCTGCTCCTGCTCGGCCCCTGGGTCTCGGCCTTCTCCCCCGGGACCGACTTTGTCACCCCGAGCCATTCTTCTGCGCCCCCGCGGGGCCCAGAAAGGCCTCCCCTCCCCCCCCCCTCCGGCGGCCGGGAGTGACCCCCCCACACATCGGGCCGGACGAAAGGGGGGGATAGGGAAAGGGGGGGTTGCGAAATCTGCTGCATGCAGCTGGTTTCTGCCACACCGAGGGGCCCATTCCTCGATACATGGCCGCCTCCCGGCGCCTGGAGGCGCCAGGAAAATCAGCTACGTGAGCTGATTCTCAAACCTTCCCTTTGCTATCCCCCCCTTTCGCCCAGCCCGACCACAGCTCCCGCCGTGAGTGCTCCGCACGAGTTGGGGGGGGTGTCTGCTGGGGAAGGGCCCGCCAGCCGTCGACCGCAGCCCCTCCCCCTCCCCCGTTCTCAAGCAGTGGCGAAGCGTCCTGGCGCGCCTATGGGACCACCAAACCATGCTCTAAGAAACTTTGTTGTTGTGGGTTCCGCGGGATCGTCTTCGAACATTTCTGGCTGGGACTGTCTTGTTTTAGCACATCGGGGTTATGTTCTAAGAACCTTGTTTTGTATTTCGAACTTTTTTGGGGTTCTAAGAGCATGTCGTGGTAGGCCTATAGGAATGCCGGGACGGTCGGTCCCTGCTCAACATTGGGGGGCGGGAGCACGGAGTGTGAGACGTTCGGCTTTCTGGGGGCGTTCCACCACGGGGCTCAGCTGCCCTGGTACGCCCGTCTTGAAACGCAGCACGTGCCGTGGTCCAAACGTTCCTGCCGACACGCCGCGTTTTTTTGGCTCCGCGTGCTGGCCCACGTTCACGTTCTGACGAACGCATCGCGCCAAACGTACGCTTCCAGCCTACGTGTTGAGCTCCGTGTCGACACGCCATGGGTTGGGTGCTGCGGATCGGGGCGGCTCAGCTACCTGGAAAACGGCCTCTGAAGAGGGGCCAGCTTCAGCGAAGCGCTCGCGTCATGGGGCGGGACGTCTTCGGCCGATCATGTCGAGTATCGCTCACAAGGTCTGGGCGTTCGTTGGGGAGTGTGCCCTGGAGTTGCCGGGCCTCTGGAGGATCCCTTGTTCAATGAGGGCGGCAGGGACACCCCTGGCAAGTCCCCGATTGAAGCTCCACTGGCTTCCAGGCCCTGGGTTCCTTATCCGACGCCCTCACCGTGTGTACGGGTGGTGGTGGTGGTCACTGCACGAGGGAAGCAGGAGCCCCGAGCAGAGCGCTGCGCACCGTGCGAGGCGCGCTTCCGAACGCCATCGAGCGGGCCCACGCCCCACGAGCGTGAGCGGGCGGATGCCCTCACGGCGGGCCCCGCGCACGCTCGCCGTGTGCACACCGTGTGCACACCGACGAGGCGAAGGCCCGCGCACCTCTGCGTGCACGGTCGCCAGGGCGGGCTTCGCGCGTCGCTCCGCCTGTCCTGGCCCGCCGCGCCTCGGCGCGACGTGCGAGCCACGCCCCGATGTCCAAGCTCTGATGAGCTCGTTTTCCACCACCACCACAAGTTGGAGGGGGGAAGGAGGAGGACGAGGAGGAGGACGAGGAGGAGGAGGAGGAGGAGGAGGAGGAGGAGGAGGAGGAGGAGGAGGAGGAGGAGGAGGAGGAGGAGAGGGAGGAGGAGGAGGAGGAGGAGGAGGAGGAGGAGGAGGAGGAGGAGGAGGAGGAGGAGGACCCTCGCCCCCTCCAACTCAGGGTAGTGGTGGAGGTGGAAGACAGGCCCATCAAGCTCGAACCCTGAGATCCGACGATGCAAGAAGCATGCAATAGTGCAAGACATCACGACCTGAGCCCTGGACCCCATCGTTCTGCGTGATCTTTC